CGTTGTATATATACTAATATATAAACTTCACGGTATGTGAAAACTAAGACATACTTATCAGTGTATATACCTTGAGACATATACTCATTAGTGTATATACCTTGAGACATGCACTTATCAGTGTATTTACGCTAAGAGATATACTTATCAGTGTATATACACTGATACACTATTATTGGTGTAGGTGCACTGATATACTTATCAGAAGCTATACAGTGGGAGATACACTTAGCAACATAAATTCAGTGAGAGATAGTGGTTTATATACACTGGAATATATCTGTGTATATACACTGATACACTTATCGTAGATGAACTGACAGATACACTTACCCTCCATGTCAACCAAAAATAATCACTACACTCGCTTTTCTTTAGATAATATGTGACATAATACATACCTTAATATAGGAACCTGGGAAATATAGCTTCTACACAGGTATATAGCTAGTATAGCTTGGCTATAGCTCGAGTATAACTCTCGTATGAAACCAAGATACCAGAGAATAACCCAGTCAGAGATCAACCCAGGTGACCGGAGACCAACCCTGCCGGCCAGAGACCAACCCAAGATACCGGAGACCAGAAGGTAGCCTAGGAGACAAGAGACCTACCCAAGATACCGGAGACCAGAAGGTAGCCTAGGAGACAAGAGACCTACGCAAGATACCGGAGACCAACCCAGGAGACCAGAAACTAGCCTAGGAGACCAGAGACCTACCCAAGATACCGGAGACCAACCCAGGAGACCAGAGACCAACCCAGGTGACCGGAGGCCAACCCAGGAGACCAGAGACCAACCCAGGAGACCGGAGATCAACCCAGGAGACCGGAGATCAACCCAGGAGACCGGAAACCCACCCAGGAGACCAGAGACCAACCTAGGAGACCAGAGAGATACACAGACTAAAGGCTAAGGATAAAAGTACAATATATCAGATCGGGGAAAGTTGAAAATAGTTCATCCTGTAAGCACTTTCCTGGTGCCCCGTAGTATTGTAATGTCACTCTTACGAGGCACTAGTATAAGGTCGACTATTGCACTCTCTCAAGTGACTCCATCACCAGTCAGTCCGTACACCTGGAGTATACCTGGAGTATACCTGGAGTATACCTGGAGTATACCTGGAGTACACCTGGAGTACACCTGGAGTATACCTGGAGTATAAACCCGGAGTATACCTGGAGTACACCTGGAGTATACCTGGAGTATACCTGGAGTATACCTGGAGTATACCTGGAGTATACCTGGAGTACACCTGGAGTATACCTGGAGTATACCTGGAGTATACCTGGAGTACACCTGGAGTATACCTGGAGTATACCTGGATACACCTGGAGTATACCTGGAGTATACCTGGTATACCTGGAGTACACCTGGGGTATACCTGGATAAAACCTGGAGTATACCTGGAGTATACCTGGAGTACACCTGGAGTATACCTGGAGTACACCTGGAGACACCTGGATATACCTGGAGTAACCTGGGGTATACCTGGAGTACACCCGGAGTATACCTGGAGTATACCTTTAGTTTTACCTGGAGTATACCTGGAGTAAAACCTGGAGTAAAACCCGGAGTATACCTGGGGGTATACCTGGAGTACACCTGGAGTATACCTGGAGTATACCTGGAGTACACCTGGAGTATACCTGGAGTATACCTGGAGTATACCTGGAGTATACCTGGAGTACACCTGGAGTATACCCCGGAGTACACCTGGAGTATACCTGGAGTATACCTGGAGTATACCTGGAGTATACCTGGAGTACACCTGGAGTATACCTGGAGTATACCTGGAGTACACCTGGAGTATACCTGGAGTATACCTGGAGTATACCTGGAGTATCACCTGGAGTATACCTGGAGTATACCTGGAGTATACCTGGAGTACACCTGGATATACCTGGAGTAAAACCTGGATACACCTGGAGTACAAACCCGGAGTATACCTGGGGTATACCTGGAGTAAAACCTGGAGTATACCTGGAGTACACCTGGAGTATACCTGGAGTACACCTGGAGTATACCTGGAGTACACCTGGATTATACCTGGAGTATACCTGGAGTTGGTTTCGGGGATCAACGCCCCCGCGGTCCGGTCTGTGACCAGGCTTCCTGGTGGATCAGGGCTCACGAAACTAACACAATATATTATGATACAGTATAATCTTTATTTCTACCAGTACATGTTACAACTGACATCACTTACCTGCTTACTACTAGCTGAACACTGACATCACTTACCTGCTTAGTACTAGCTGAACACTGACATCACTTACCTGCTTACTACTAGCTGAACACTGACATCACTTACCTGCTTACTACTAGCTGAACACTGACATCACTTACCTGCTTACTACTAGCTGAACACTGACATCACTTACCTGCTTAGTACTAGCTGAACACTGACATCACTTACCTGTTAGTACTAGCTGAACCACTGACATCACTTACCTGCTTAGTACTAGCTGAACACTGACATCACTTACCTGCTTA